CCTTCGGGTGAGATTTGTGAATATTTCAGAGGCTGGAGCAGAGAGAGTGAGGGACTAAGCTGGTAAGAGGCTGGAAACTAGCAAGAGCTGGGTGAAGACGGCCTTTTGTGAGTGATTCCATTTTCCATGTATGTAGTCTGAGGGCAACAGGAACTCAGGAAGAACTTTAGGGGCCTGACTACTCCAATTTGTCCCTTTGCTTTTGTTGTCCCATATATCTGAAAGATTTCTCTTTCTCCTCTTTCCTCATAACCACGACCCATGCCTCCACCTGTCTGAATCCTGCTCATCTTCCAAAGATCACAACAGATGCTGTGTCTTCCATAAAAGCCTTTTAATACACCTGGTCAAAAGTCATTTTACTCTTTTGTGTACCCCTTCCCCAAGCCATTTACATTTACATTTAAAACCTAAAATGAGATCTTTTTAAAACCCACAATATTACAACAGTAATGAGAATTTTTAAAAAGTATTTAATATCACCCCAACATAACTTTTCATGTTGCACATTGTTTTCTCAACTTACAAATATGTATAACATATATAATTGAAATCATGGTATATACATAAAATTTTGTGTCTTACATTGTATCACCACATTACATTATTTTAAAATTTTTTATCATTTTATAACGGATGTATTATAAAGCATTCCTGTGTAACTGGATGTGAAGTTTGTGTTTAATTTTTAGCTATTGATAGATAATGCTATAATTTTCATGTGATTCTCTCCCTTCTTTTTTTCTGTTTTTGGTTTTTTCCTGTCGGAACAATTTCTTTATGCTAAATTCTCAAGATTGGGATAACAAAGTATTTTGAATTATCTTTGACTTTAACACTCTAACCTTTACCCCTCCCCCAATCAGTGAATTACCAAATGTTGTTGATTCTTTGACAGTGTACCTGGCACCAGTCTCTTCCTTTCCATTCTCACTGTTACAGCCAATTTTGTTCCTCATGCCAGGATTATTGCAGTCTTTTTTTCCTAACTGATATCCCTAGTCTCCAGTGTTTTCTCTTTCCAATTTTCCTTCTCTTCATGCCAGATTAAATGCCCTAAAGCACTGCTTTGGAGAAAAGATTCATTCGTTTGACAGACATTTATTGAATGCACACCATGTGCCAGATAACTGACATTTCAAGATATGAACACCCTCCCCTCATTTACTTTACACCAGCCCTCTGACTCAGCCAGACTGGTCTATTCACAGTCTCCTAAACATGCCACCTACATTCCTATGTCTGAGATTTTGTTTTAGAATGAGCTTCTGTTTAGAATCCATTCTGCTTCCCTTTTCTCGTTTATTTTAGTTTGTGTCTTCAAAGCCCAGCTCTAGTCTCAGCCCTCCCTCCCTGAAGCCCCTTGTCTCTAAACATCACAGCTGAACAAACAATACCTTCATTCTCTTTTTTTTTTAACATTTTTTTATTTAAAGATTTTATTGGGGAATTGGGGGAGGGGAACAGTGTTGGGGAATTGGGGAAGGCGAACAGACAAGTTGCTGTTCTTTTTGTTCTTCAGTCTAGTGGAGGATGTCGCTTCACTGGCCCCATGTTGGTATTATCATTGTGCTCTTCCTGGGTGAGGCAGTCGCTTGCCGGCCATTGGACGGCCGCTCACGCCAGCTGCCGGCCAGCCCCACTGCAGCCTATGACTTCGCCTGCTACTCACTGCAGTCCAGCTCCAGGTTGAGCTGTTGTTCACCATCTTAGCTGTAGAGGGCGCAGCGTCACTGGCCCACATGTGGGGTCCAAACTGGGGCCCTGCTGCTCAGAGCTGCCATCCCAAGCCAACTCTTAACCAACGTGCCACTCGGCCGGTCCTCTTCATTCTCTTTTATTCACCAGATAAACTTCGAATTCCTTGACCTTGTTTTGAAGGCTTTCTAAGATCTGGCCTCATTTTTTATTTCCAACCTGGCTTCCTGTTTAACACGAAGTGTCTGATTCGCCTGGACTCCTCCACTTTCTGTTCTTTAAATACCCCATGTCCATTCCTACATTCATGCCTTTCTTTGCTCATGTTTGTTCTTTCTCCCACGCCCTCTAGCTCTCAAATGGTACCCACTTTATTTAACCCCCTTTTTATTAGTTTTAATTATATTTTCATTTTGAACAAAAAAAGCAACTCATGTAACTTCCTAATCCATGTGGGAGGCCCATATACTTAAAAATTAATAATACAAGATCTATATATAGATATAGATGGATATATAAATTGTTAATGATTTCTACCACCTCTTCCAAGTTATCCCTCTTAAGGTAACCAGTGTTAAAATCTTGGTATGGCCTTCCACACCTTTCTCCTTTCCCCTAACACTGACTCTGTGGACCTTTTATTTATTTCATTTATTTATTTATTTTTAAGATTTTATTGGGGAATCGGGGAAGGGGAACAGACAAGTTGCTGTCCCCCTGTTCTTCAGTCTAGTTCTGGAGGATGTCGCTTCACTGGCCCATGTTGGTTTTGTGACCATTGCGCTCTTCCCGGCCGAGGCAGTCGGTCTCTGGCCATTGGACAGCAGCTCACAAAAGCTCACACCTGCTGCTGGCCAGCCCCACTGCAGCTTGCGCCGTTGCTGGTGACTCACAGCAGCCCAGCTCCAGGTTGAGCTGTTGTTCACCATCTTAGTTGTAGAGGGCTTAGCATCACTGGCCCTCATGTGGGATCTGAACCAGGGCTCTGCTGCTCAGAGCTGGCGTCCCAAGTCAACTCTTAACCAAGCGTGCCACTTGGCCAGCCCTCTGTGGACCTTTTAAGAGCTGCTCCTTGCCCCAACAAGAATGGGAGCATACTTTACACCAGTGTCTTCAAAATGTTGTCCAGGATCCTTGGGAGTTCCCTAAAGGCCTTTTTAGAAGGTCTGCAAGCATAACTATTTTTATAATATATAAAATGTTATTTGCCTTTTTGCTGGGTTGATGTTCGCACTGATATGGAAAAGCAGAGGTGGGTAAAACTTCTGTTCCCTTAGCGCTCATCAAGGTGGTGGCACCAGCTGTACTAGGCATTGTAGTCTTCACTGCCACATGCTTACAGTAAATAATTCCAGTTTCACTTAATATTCTTGATGATGTAATAAAAATTGTTAATTTTATTAAACCCTGGCCCTTGAATACACGTTTTTTTTTTTTCCTAGTTTTATTGAGGTATAATTGACATATAACGTTGTGTAAGTTTAAGGTATACAATGTGATTTGATACATATATGTGTATATATGAGTATATGCATATATATGTATACAAATATACATGTATATATAATATACAAACACACACACACACACACACACAGTGAAACATTGACCACAATAAAGTTGGTTAACACATCCTTCACCTCACATGGTTACCATTTTCTTATGGTGAGAACATTAAACCTCTACTTCTCATAGCAAATTTCAAGTATACAATACAATTTTGTTAACTATCATCACCATGCTGTACCTTAGATACCTGGAACTTGTTCATCCTACATCTGGAAGTTACACATCTTTTTAATGTTCTCTGGACTAAATGAGAAGCATGAAATACTCTGTTGCACACTGAAGACGGTGTCTCAAGGAAAAGCACTGACGTAATTGTCCGAGTTGCAAGCTAAATAAACATCCTTTTCATAGAACACCAGCTTTATTTGAAAGAACCTCTGACAAACTGATAATTCAGACCTGGGTATCTGATAGGCATTTTCCTGAAAATGAAGGAAGTGAGCCTGTTATTTCAGGGAAAACAACTTGACAGTGTTTGTAGCCAATGATAAAATTCAAGCCTTCAAGTGAACATTAGAATTTTGGAAAACTTGTATCTGCCACTGGGAGCTTGACAGCTTCCCAATAAAGACTTTTCTGATGAGATTAACAAATATGACTTTTTATAATGCATAGTTAAATGTGAACATGGCAAAATAAGAGTATAAGGGGGGAATCCTGAAATAAAAGTGTTTGAAGATCACTACTCATTACCCTGCAACTTTTTCACTTAGTATGTCACAAACACCATTCAAGGTCAATGCATTTATATCTAAAATTCTTTCCGTAACAGCATGGTGTTCCATCATGTGATTGATACACATCTATTGAATCATATATTGAGGGCTGTTCAAGTCGCTTTCATCATTTTGCTAATTTACATAATGCAGCAACAAATTTTTTTTTAAGATTTAATTGTGGGAGGGGACAGACAAGTTGCTGTCCTTTTTGTTCTTCAGTCCAGTTGAGGACATCGCTTCACTGGCCCATGTTGGTATTATCATTGTGCTCTTCCCTGGTGAGGCAGATCGGCCGCCTGCCACTGGACGGCCGCTCGCGGTGGCTCTTGGCAGCTCATGCCGGCTGCCTGCCGCTCACGCTGGCTGCCTGCCACTCACGGTAGCTTACAGCAGCCCACTGCAGCCTACACCATTGCCGGGACTCATGGCAGCCCAGCTCCAGGTCTAGCTGTTTTCACCATCTTAGCTGTAGAGGGCAGTGGCACTGGCCCGCATGTGGGATCCGAACTGAGGCCCTGCTGCTCAGAGCTGGCATCCCAAGCCAACTCCTAACCAACGTGCCACTCGGCTGGCCCAACAAATATATGTTCTTGTGTACCAATGCTTTTATAGCTGTAGTATGGATTCCTAAAAGTTGACCTATTTTTTATGATCCATCTTATTAAAACTTTCCCTTACAACATCTTCTCTGGTCATCTTGTTTTTGTTCCCTTTTAAAGCCTCTTATTCATTTACTGTCTTTTGATGTCCCCATGCTATTGTCTTTTAAAAACTCTTCCTCTGTGTCTTGTCTTGCCAAGTAGATTATAAAAATAGAAACTCCCTGAGGGCAGTGTACAGGCACTCGGTCAGTAATGAGAGAGGGATAGAGGGTTGATATGAGAAAAGAATACCTTAAAGGCTGTATTTTGTGGCCAGATGGGTGCTGAGGGTAACTGTGTGCATTCATGCATTCTTTCATCTTGGCAACTATTTGATCATTAGAGTAACTCCAACTTAATTCTCTCATTTTAGGCAAGTACATCGCCTCAACACAGCGACCTGACGGGACCTGGCGCAAACAGCGGAGGGTGAAAGAAGGCTATGTACCCCAGGAGGAGGTCCCAGTGTGCGTGGTTAGGCTGAGGAGGGGGTATTAAGTAGGGTCCCTACAGAAAGAAAGAACATGTATGCCTATGAGTTCAGAGAAGAATCTCCTGATCTCCGAATTCCAGAAATGGAAGGAGGGGACAACTATCTGAGAAAGGAGAGGAGGGGGTTGGGACTCAGGGATGAGTGAGGGTTAGACGTGACTATGGCCAAATAGCATCCAGAGCTTTGAGACCCAGGGACACTCCTACAATCTGCAAAGCAGAGAAAAGATGGGGAGGGACCAACGGGGAGGAAGGAAGCAAGAGAAGTGAAAAGGGTTGACTGAATCGCAAGGTTAAGAAAAGGGCTCGAAAAGGCAGTGATTCTTTGAAATTATTGACATCTCCCTGCAGGTATGAGAACAAGTATGTGAAGTTTTTCAAGAGTAAACCAGAACTGCCCCCAGGGCTGAGCCCTGAGGCCACTGCTCCTGTCACCCCAACAAGGCCTGAAGGTGGTGAACCAGGCCTCTCCAAGACAGCCAAACGCAACCTGAAGCGGAAGGAGAAAAGGCGGCAGCAACAAGAGAAAGGGGAGGCAGAGGCCTTGAGCCGGACTCTCGATAAGGTGTCCCTGGGAGAGACAGCCCAACTCCCTAGTGCCCCACAGGCCTCCCGGGCAGCCCCTACAGCTGCCTCTGACCAGCCTGACTCAGCTGCCACCACCGAGAAGGCCAAGAAGATAAAGAACCTAAAGAAGAAGCTTCGGCAGGTGGAAGAGCTGCAGCAGCGGATCCAGGCTGGGGAAATCAGCCAGCCCAGCAAAGAGCAGCTGGAGAAGCTAGCAAGGAGGAGGGCACTGCAGGAGGAGCTAGAGGACTTGGAGCTAGGCCTGTGAGGCCTGTGGGGCATAGGGGATGAACTGCAGAACAAACCATGGGGCTCTCTGGGGTCGTGGGGAATGTGGGCAGCAGTAGTCAGGAGGGATACCCCCCCATACTGGCTTGCATCCACCTCTCAAGGCCCAACTCTGCCCTCCAGAACCTAGCCTCTCCCTCATTCCTTCCCTTTTTGTCCCAACTCCTATTTTTTGGACTTTTCTCTCTCCCATTCCCAGTGTTCAAAAACATCAGTAACTACCCTAGATTCCTTTGCTGCTGATTTGGGTGTCTTGTTAAAAAAAAATTGGGCGGGTGGGAATCTCTTGGAGAACTGATATTGAGGGTAGGGGGACTACGCCCAAGTCTTGGAGTCTTGGTTCCTGTTCAGTGTTTATGAATATTCCCTTCCCCCACCCTTGACCTTTTTTTTTAAGAACAGAATAAACAAGTAGACAAATTGTCTAGCTTTGCCTCTTTCTTTTCAGCTTCTAGTAGGTGTTTTGTCTCAAGTTTGGCTCAGAAAGTTTTGGGAGTAATATTTCTTTTAATTTTTTAAAGATTTTATTGGGGAGTTGGGGGAGGGGAACAGCGCTGGGGAATCGGGGGAAGGGGAACAGACAAGTTGCTGTCATTTTGTTCTTCAGTCTAGCTGTGGAGGACATCGCTTCACTGGCCCATGTTGGTATTATCATTGCGCTCTTCCCAGGTGAGGCAAATGGGTCGCCGGTCCCTGGACGGCCGCTCACGGCGGCCCTTGGCAGCTCACTCTGGCTGCCAGCCACACGGTAGCTTATGGCAGCCCACTGCAGCAGGGGCTGCAGCCCAGCTCCAGGTTGAGCTGCTGTTCACCATCTTAGCTGTAGAGGGCAGTGTCACTGGCCCCCATGTGGGATCTGAACTGCAGCCCTGCTGCTCAGAGCTGGCGTCCCAAGACAGCTCTTAACCAATGCGCCACTCAGCCGGCCCTCTTTTAGTTTTTAAAAGTTATGAGTGTATGACCAAATTAGCAACACTGATTTCTGTATGTTTGCTCAGACTTCAGAGAACAGAAATTAGTGTTACAATAAAATGAAACTTAGAACAAATTTCATTTGATGTGTTTTCATGTGGCATCATCATGCGGCATAGCACTAGGGCCTTTGTACTGACTGCCTTTACTGCTTCTTTCTGAAGATAATAGACCTACTTCACAGCTTCACTGAGGCAGCTCATCTGAAGTTTTACCTTATCAGATGCCACCCCAAGATGGCATTGTGGGTCAAACTAATGATACAGGGAGAGGAATTTACAGCCCAAAAGCTGTCACTTAATTTTTGCATATCTGATTTCCACACCCTCTAGCCATCCTCTAGTGTAGAAATCAATGGAGAGGGAAGTCAGCTGTAATGAACTATCTCAGGGGTTCAAAGTTCTTAGCCTGATTCAAAGTGTCCCACACAATCTGGCCTCATTTTTTGCCATCCCTCAACTCTGGTCAAACTCTGCTCCAACTACATTGAGCTATTTTACTGAACTATTTTTTTTTTTAAGCTGAGCCATCCTGCCACCTGTTGGCAGCTCAGCGGCTGCTCAGCTCGGGCCGGGAATCAAACAGCCATTGCTCAGAGCTCAAACTCTTGAGCGAGCTCTTAACCAACTGAGCCACTC